GTATTTGCTTTAATATTTGGATATTCCTCTTTATCATACAGTCTATAAGTAACCAAAACCTATAAACGACACACGCCTCTTCTCACTCGGAGAACGTTTGAGCATTAATCACCACGTTTGCTCAATGCAAGTTGGCATTTTCTACTTATTTAATGAAAATAAGAATCCAGGGATTGAAAATTTACGACAGTCACCGTACAAGGTTTGCCTCTCAAGCTATTTATTAAGGATTTTATGAGCTGATTGTTCGGAAGACTCTTTTATCCCAAAAACAATTGAGTCATAAAATGTGGGAGGTATATTGAATCATCGTTGTTCGCGTCAGATCGCTTGTGTCTCCTTTTCACGAACGGGATTTTGTTAGGGCTCGGTTTGGTTTATTCTGTTTGAGATTGTGCCTGCATATGTAGGAAGGCAGATGATACATGATAGACCTCTAAAACTGCTCTAACTAAATTCTTAAACGACAGTTGTGTCACAACAAGATATGAATTAATACGTCCATGCCAGTATCGGTTACGGCGCCCGTTTCTTGACTACTGACGTCTATCATGGGCTCTCATGTGGCTGGCAAATGCCCTTTTGTTTATAAAGATACTAGCTACTTCCGCGCGTTTTCACACGCTCTGCTCAGCTCCTATTGGTCGTAGCGTGATGTTTTAATGCCTGTAGCCATCCTCGATAAATGCGCTATCCAACACAAAAAGAATTATTCAAATCAGACTTGTAATTACGGAGATTAGCGCGTTCAAACAAACAAACAAACAAAAAAACTAAATCTTCCGCTTTATATAATTGTATGTATAAGATAAGATAAGATGAATCAATATTGCTTTTAAATAATTTGCAATCTTCGACATAACATATTATGCCGTTTGTTATTTACAGGTAGTTGAATTTACTCGAAAAACAATTTTATCTTAATCCTAAGTTTTTTTTTATGGAATAGGAGGCAAACTAGCTGACAGATCAAGTGATGCTAAGCGATCAGCGCCACCCTTGTACAATGGAAACACCAGAGGAGTCACAGCTTGTAACTGTGCCTGTGACTCACAGGCAGTGCCGTAAATAGGGCGGTGCCAGTGGTGCCCAGGCACAGGGCGCAGACCCTGGAGGGGCGCAGAAATGACCAGACTGTACTATCTAAATCTGTATGGCATTTTTGAACGATCTTGAAACAACAACAAATGTCAAACGACTCACTACACATCAGACAAATGTATATCCATCTTAAGTCTTGCTCGCAATATTACATACACAAACAAAAGTACCTATACTATAACTTTGGGCGTTTGCGCCTGCGCCCGCGGGGCGAAACAAAAAAAGGAGAGGCACTCCATCCCGGCAGGCTGGAGTTGCAGCAGCGGCGGTGGAACCCGCCCCGCGAGCGGAGGA